AAACCAAATCACTTGTAAAGGAGAGCTTTCTTGCTGATACTCATTCCAAACCAAAGCAAGAAAAATTGAAAGACATTAGGAAAGAGATTGAGACAACTTTGGCTTCTTCCAAAACTTCTAATACCCCCTTTTTGGCTCATCAGGTTTCCAAAAAAGCGAAAAGGTCGAAAGATGAGAAGAAAAGACATACGAGAGATGGTCAGTCAGAATCTCAAAGAAAGAAGATTAAAGTTTAACTGTAATGTTTTTAGGTTCTTTATTCAATTTTACGTTACTGTGAATGATCAGTTTTGGTCAAGTTCTGTTGTTTGATCAGAAAGGCATGGAACTTCTATTGGATGCCGAGTACACTTGAGTTAAGTTGATCATGCAATCTTTGTTCTTCATTTTAGTTAAATGCTTCATTGGTAAGTTTAGAATGGTTGGTTCATAAATGCAGCGATATGAAAATTTTATATTATTCACATCTGTAAACTTTTGTGAAATACATCTAGCAACAAATTTAATAGCTACCAAGTAACAAACTGGATCCTGTATTTGTACTGCAAGTGACTATTCTAACTGGAAAGTGGAAACTAACTTTATAATAGCAAACTACATTCATATTGAATGAACAAACTGCTCCACAGACACTTTTGCTTTGCTGAAGTGATGCTTTTAGTCATCCCTATGGGGGCTTGAACCTGGTACAAGAATGTGATATTTGAGAAAACTGCTTATGGAGGTAAGATGCGAACACTTTTGAATTTAGAAATTACTTGTTTTGTATAGGATTCCATCTGCTTGGAGGTATTCTCCTAAAGCTTGAATCAATTTTCTTGAATGGTTTCTTCTGCTTTGCATGCAGACCTTTGAGTGTTTGAGATGTTGAAGTTTTTGCGGACGGATGCTCTTTACTGAAGAGGGAGCGAGCTGCATGTGCGGCATTGGACTCTGAACGAAGAATCAACAGAAGTGCTAGAACACAAGCAGCTAGTATTCTTGAGTGGCTCTTCATTTTCTTGCTGTAAGCCAAGTTAAAGTATGTTAATGATGAGTTTTCTGCTGCAGGGTGAGTGGAATAAGAGGTGATCAAGGTAATATGTTATTGTGATTTGGTAGCTTTGGAGCTGAGCTGATGAGATTTATATATGATGTTTGAATGTAGTGAAGGATCCGATGCTAATGGGATCATGTGATGTTCCTTTGACTGTTCTCTGTGTTGGAACTCTGATTTCCAGATAAGTTGTTAAAAGTTTCAGAGTAGTCATGTGACCTGGCACGTGATGATATTTTATTTACTGGAAGTCTGAAGAGGTGATTATTATAATATTGTCTCGAGCTTTTGATATTGGAAGATTTGATTACTTCCTTGAGGAATTGCTTTGATCTTATTCTAATCCTTTTGAAGCTGGGGTGGTGCTAGTTGGCCTTTCCTTTAGCTCATCTACTTTTTGTGCTTGCTATATTGTTGTGTTTCAAATACGTTCCTCAATCTCTTGCATAACGTGTAAATTTTCGCTGGCTTTGGCAATGGCATAAGGCAATCTGAATGCATAAAAGGAGAAACGGCAAAGGGTCAAATTAAATATACCCCTTTACCATGAGAAAAGGTTTATTTTGGGTTCAAATATACTCCTGCCGTAATACAATATATTCTTCTTATGTTAAGTTTGTCCAAGGTGGACATTCAATCCTACATGGTACTGATATTTGATGAGGTGGATGCCACATAGCATGCCACACTCAGCGCCCCTAATCCATATATAAAAGGCTAAAATTTGAAATACAATTATTATCATGTTAGCGGTAATGGTGGCAATAGTGGTGGATGAGAAGGAAATTTTGGTGGTGGAAAAAAAATAGAAGGGAGGGGTAAAATGGGTTAGGGGCGTTGAGGTGGCAAGCCATGTGACATCCACCTCATCAAAGGTCAGTGCCACGTAGGTTGGATGTCCACTTTGGACAAATTTAACGGAAAATAGGTATATTTGAACCAATAACGACAAGGGTATACATAGACTCAAAGTATAACGAGTGGTACATTTAAATCTTTTTTGATAGTGCAGGAATATATTTGGCCCTTTTCCGAAGGAGAAATGCGTCTCTCTTTTTTACTCGACCTTTTTGGGGATACTTAAAAGGAAATGCGTTAATGTGGTGCTTATACTTTCCTGAGCCGAGGGTCTATTGGAAATAACCTTTTTATATATACACTACTTTTTTCAGACCCCACGGTGTGAGATAATATCGGTTATGTTGTTATTGTTGTTTAAAAGGAAACGCGTCACTTTTGGTAAATAAAGTTGAATCCCATGGTTTTGACTCGCACGGTGCTTTCTTTTTCCTGTTTATAAGGTTTCTTTTAAAAAGGTTCAGAGTATTTGCAAGTCAAAAAGATGCTCTTATTTTTATATTCTGCGGATGCAGTCTTGGAAAATGTTTTATGGAAGGAAGCATAGTTTTCACTTTTTGTTTGGTGTTATTTCTATTATTAAAAAGATTAGCTTTCTGATAACCGGTGTCCTTAGAAGCGCAGATTCCGATTATTTTGAAGACTATTGTCCTTCGACCAATTAGCACTTTCATGAGCCTACACCCTTCCCCCCCTACCTAAGGGGTTGACACTATCTTTTTCTTTGCTAAATATTTACTAGTCACATTAATTCGAATTTGCATCGAATAAGTTCACAAGTGTGAAACATTTCATACTAGGTCCGATCGAACTCTTTTTCCTCTTGTTGAGGATGGAAAGATCTCATCCATCATATCATAATCAACCGAAATTAAAAACTTAGTGACCCAACTAATTCGAATTTATGTCGAGTTGAGCTCATAGTAGGACAACGTGCTCATAATGGAATGGGATAACGTTTCTTATCAGAATTTTTTCATTATATTGACTTAAAATCGGAACTTCTGATCAAAGCAAGCATATATCGTCTATTCCACCACATCTGTAGTAATAGGTACCATTACTCAACAATCTTTACACATCAAACATGAATGAAGGTGATTACCGTCACCTTTTAACTTTCTTTTCCCTGAAAATTTCGTGTGAAATCTGGAAATTTGAAGAAGAAAGGAGTCACAGTTGAAAAAGACGACCAAAAGGCGTTAAAGTTGCATCTACCTAAACTGCTTTTTATATTTGTTTATCGACATTAAATGCAACTAAGCCACTCCGTTTCCAACTAATAATTTCCTAATCATATGACAATCTTTGCCCAATGTAAAAGTATTTGCAACTTTCTTCTTTTATTTCTTTGTTAAGGGAGGTGGTTATTGATGATTGTATTTTATTGGTTTAATGATTACGTAATAAATATCTACGTATAAAGTTATAGCAAAGTGGCAAACAAATTAAAGTTCAACGTCGGTGTGCCTTAAAATATAAAATACCTATATAGAGGTTTAGAGCAATTCCTTGCATTAATTGAGCAAAGAGATTTATCTTTATTCAGCTGGATACATAGCTATGCATTTCCTAAATCCATCTCATTATTTTGACATCTTCGTTGTTATAATCACATATAAAGAAGCTTTTGTCAAGGAAAAGCTTCATAAATATATCATTTTGTACTTAAATTCATCAGACTATTAAAAAATGAATTCGAGTCTTTAGCCCGATATCACCATTTTTTTACAGCTTGTTTGGAAGGTTATTATCAGTTATTGTATCGTTATTTTAAATATAATATTTGTCTTGATTGTTACTAAATTTTATTGTAACGTATTGTTAAATCCGTAGTTTCGTAACAACAAAAAAGAGTGCCAGTTTACGGAACATGGTGTAGTCGAGTCGTTACCTTATTTTTTTCTCTTATCTTACCCTTTCTTATTATTAAATAATCCTATTTTATCTTTTACCCCCCATATTTATATAATAATCCTATCTCGTATATTATTTTTTCTTTATAATATTGCAAATTTATTTTTCATATTGTTGGTGCATGACACGATGAAACGACAAACAATACAATATATGTATCCAAACATTATATACATCAAAAAGATACAGTACAATACAATACTATACTATACGATAGATTATATAACAACACGTAACAACTATCCAAACAAGCTCTTAGTTTTAAAGCAAAGAGGACTATATAAGGTTGTCCCATTTGGAAGTTTACTGCACTTCAGAAAGCTATTGTAAAAGTACTTCTCATTGCGGTTTTTTCTTCTTTTTCTTTTAACCGCATTAAGAGTCAATATTAAATGTGTCATCCGAATAAATAATGTAATGCTATGTGAGTTGTAGTCTTTCTTGGTAAGCATTAGTGCATGAAAACGGGAACAGTTGAACCACTAGCCTCTATTTTCTCTTCTGCGTTTGTACTTATTCCTATTATGTAAATTTCTATTATCTTTCATTTTATACTTTCTTCATTCAGAATAAGAATGACGGAATGTGAACTATATAAGTCTGACACATCCAAACACAAATTATTTTTAGGTTTTGTATAAATAAAATATTTAAAACTTTATAACCAAAAAATTATTTGACTGCACAAATTAAAGAATACCATACAAATTGAATTGAGAATACTAGCATCATTCTTAAGGCTCCGTTTGGCCATGAATTTTGCCAAAATAAATTTGGGATTTATTTTCAAAACTCATGTTTGGTCATAAATTTTGCCCATATTTTGGCCAAATCCTAAATCCCAAAATCCCAAATCCCAAAATCAGCTATTGAGCTGATTTTGGGCCAAAATCCCAAAATTTGGGAATTATATACATGTTTTTCCAAAATAAAGTTGGAAAATATGTTTTGAAAACGTATGTCCAAACACATTTTCATCTTCAAACTAACTTCACAAAAGTTAGATTTTTTAAAATAAATTTGGGATTTATGGCCAAACACTAGCTAAAAGTGGGAAAACGTGCACACGTCACAGTGCCTCACGGAGGACAACTGCAGGAAATTTCGTCATAGGGGTAAATTCGTCATTAATAGTCACAGAGAGGTTAATTTTGTCTTTATATCAATTTTATCAAATTGCATAATCGGACTCAAATTCGGCTCGGGCCAGTCACCATCAAATTGAAGCCCAAAACGAGGAAAAGTTTCTCTTCATCAGATTCAGATTCTGAAAAATCTCAATTCGCCCAATTAATTTCAATTTCCTGCACGATCTTTGGTAATATATTGTACCTTCTTCATTTTGATATGTGTATTTATGTACGTACATGTTGTTCATGTGTCATTGCTTTCTTTAATTTTGATTTTCCTTTTTGTTCAATGGCTTTTGTAATCACTAGTGTTGTAATTTGATAATCTGTAGTTAATTACCGTATTTTCCGGTTACTTGGTACAATTGTTTGTTGAATTACTTGCTTCAGCCATGAACTGTTCCTTCTATCTAGTTGTAGCATTTCCATCACCAATTTTCCTTTGAATATTGGATTATGTTTGCTTTTTTTAAGTCTTATTGTTTAGGATTTCCCTCCTTGGAGATTTAAGAAAAAGGAAACAAACAAAAAATTGCTTATAAATGTTAAGTATTTTTGGTTGATTTTTCCTTGTTTTAGAAAATGCAATAAAACATGCCGCCCTTTTCTTCTGTGAGATTTATGTGTTTAGGAAACCTATTCCTAAACATTTATGAACCAGATAGAGTTAAAATATATTTGTAGTTCTATTACTGCGGCTCAGTTGATAATTAAGCTAATTTTGGTATTGGAATCTCAAAATATTTCTAGCAATCGACTGCTCAAAATTTTTAGCAATCATTTAAACAACCAGATGAATGGAGAGTAGTTCTCAAGATATCTGGACAGAGTTAGGTCCATCCAGAGGCGGACCAAGGATTTGAAGGTCGGGGTGCACTTTTGGATTCAACCAAAATCTGCTTTGTATATAGGATGTCTACAGTGTTTTTATGAGCGAGAAGCGCAAAAAAGCAACAAGGGCTCGCCTCGCTTCAAAAGCAAAGCGCAAAGCGAAGCGCAAGCTTTATTAAAGTGAAGCGCAATTCTTAAAAAGCATAATGTAAAATTATAAATAATCAAAAACTTCAATTTAAAAACTTAAAAGTAGGTACTAGGTACCACCAAATCCTCTACAAACCATAGGACAAGCAAAATCAAAGCTACTAAATTACTAGAATCAACATCTTATTCTTCTAGACTTCTACTCTTCTTGTTCTTCTTCAAGATTGTCAAAATCTTGAATTCCTCTATATCTTCATATTGCTCGTCATCTTCTTCTTCCCCCCACCTCTTCCTGTTCATGCTTACTTTCATCTTCATCAATTAGGGATAGGGATCGACTTGTAGTAGCCACACTTTTTCCCTTCCTAATCGAGCTTGAACTTGAAGTATTCCCCCTTAAACCATAAGGATTCTCCCCAACTCCACTACCAACCGCAACATCACCCCAAGTGAAATCAGAGTCGCCTTCAAATACTTCTTCATCTTCACAATTTTTGGGGACTCCGGTTAGCCACTCATTAGCCTCATCAATATTGTCCAAAAGAATTGGATCAATTAGATTGCGGTGGTTGTAGCGACACCTCAATGCTCTATCGTATTTTATGAACACTAGATTATGGAGGCGCTTCAAGGTTAGTCGATTCCTCGTCTTTGTATGAATCTGCAAACAAGATATGTGAACTAATTAGTAGGAGTTGGGACAATTGAGATATAATTTACTTTATCTCAAAACACGAAATAATTTTTTTTATTTCTCACGTGTTAAAAAACGCTCCAGTTCCTTTCATATCCGGATGGGCTACAAGTTAAACTTAGAACTTTGATGGCGAAAGTCTGTAAATCCGGAGTCTCTATACCATATTGGTCCCACCACTCAACTATAGAAGTCAAAAAAAATGTTCAAGAGTTGAGAAGAATAAAAATTACATTAAAGTTAGAGCTATAAAATATAGAAACACTTGGTCACCTGGCGACTTCGTCTTTCTTTGTTTAATAGCAAGTCGGAGCTTAAAAAGTCCTTCAGCTGCCTTGTAAATAACAAGCTGATCTACTATCTTTTCTTGGAAGTCTTCATCTGGGTCAAATTGATAGCAACCTCATGGAATCCTGTCCACACTTCTCTAGCCAATGAATTATTCTCATGCTGATCATAAAAGAGTGACAGGTTCAGAACAAGTCCAGCTGCATGCAAAGGTCTATGAAGTTGCTCATACCATCTTGCATCAATGATCTGAAAGACCTTTGCATATTTCTGCTCATCAGTGAATAATGCTTGAATAGCCTCCTTGGCCCTATTCATACTTTCATAGAGGTAGCCCATTGGTGGTTTTTGCTCCCCATCCACCAAATAGAGTACTTTAACCAAAGGGCCACCAATTTTAAGAGCATGATGGACATTATTCCAAAAAGAATAAGAAAGAATAATGCGTGCAACATCTTTCTCCACACTTTCCTTTGCAAATTTACTCTTTCACCATTCCTCTGAAGTGAACAACTTTCTCAAATTGGCTTTTTGCAAGTGGATACTATGCAAAGTCAAGAAAGCAGTGGCGAACCTTGTCTTGCCCGGTTTCACCAATTTTTTTTTGTATGGTGAATCTTCTCATCAAATTCAATAACAAGGACCGCTGAGAAATATAAGAATGTACCTTAACGCCCTGGCCAAAAACTGTAGAGAAGGGTTTTTCCTTGAAAATGTCCCCGAACATTAAGTTGATACAGTGAGCCGCACATGGAGTCCAATAGACATTCTTGTACGCTCCTTCAAAATGCCACCCGCTTTCACATTTTCACTCGCATTATCAGTGACCACTTGAACAACTTTGCTTGGCCCAATCTTTTCAATGGTGTTCTGAAACAAGATAGAACATTTTGATGTGGTCAGTGGATGAGTCGCTAGCATCAATGGACTCAAGAAACAAACTTCCCCTGGGAGAATTTACCAACACATTAATAATCATTTTCCCAGTTCTTGCCGTCCACTTATCCATCATAATGGAGCAGCCATACTTGTTCCACACAACTTTGTGCTCCTCAACAATTTTATTAGGCTCCTCCACTTCCTTATTTAGATAAGCACCTCTGATTTCATGATAAGTGGGAGGCTTCATTCCAGGTCCGTATTGACCAACGACATCAATAAAGTCTCCAAAAGTGTCATAGTTGACACAATTGAAGGGGAGCCCAGCATCATAGACCCATCGTGCAAAAGCTCTAACTGCACGATCCCTCAAAATGTCCTTAGCAATTTTTTGTACATCTTTTCCACCGCTCTTTGCTTCCGGCTTCTTTGGGAAATAGCAATCTATAGGACCTTTAGTCCTACTCGTACCCTTAGATGATCCATGGCTTGAAGAGATTGCATCTCTTCCCCGTTTTTTTGGAAGTGACAATTCTTCAATATCATCATCATCATCATCATCATCAAGATTGGTCACCAATGGTTGATGACTCATTTGATTCTTTTGCTCCTTCTTCTTTTCAACAAAATTCTTTATTTCATCCCTCACCTTCGGGGTGGGCATTTCGGACAACTTGTGACGTTTCTATCGCCACCAATAAGATGGAATTTAAAGCGATAAATTCCACCCGTTGTAATCTTGTTACAAAACTTGCATACAACATTTGTATTCTTCTCATTAACTCTATCGCCATATCACCAAGCCGGGTCTTTCTCTTTCGAACTTTCAGACATTTTGAAATCCATATTAAGATATAAGAAAATACATAACCAAATAAACTGAAAATACATATAATATATATAATATTAATTTTATAAACTGAAATACAAATTAAAAAAATCAAATAAACTAAAATATAACATATATATATATATATANTATATATATATATATATATATATATATATATATATATATATATATATATATATATATATATATATATATATATATAATAATAATAATAATAATAATAATAAATTTTCTAAAATGAAATACATATAAAATTAATCAAAAATAAACTGAAAATATAACATATATATAATAATTAATTTTATATACTGAAATATATACTAAAATGAGAAGGAAAAAGAAAGAAAAAATAGGAGAATATGTTCTGGACTGGAGAAAGAAAGAAAGAAAGAAGAAGACGAAGAAAGAAAAAAGAAAAAAAAATGAGAAGAACCGAAGAAGAAAGGAGAAGAAGAAATTACTTGGACTGGAGCAGTGTTTAGCAATGGTCGAGCTGCGAACGAGAAGGGAGAAGTGGTCGAGCTCGAGCGAGTGAGAAGGGGTCAGCAATGGCGAGAACCCTAGGTTTTGTCGATGTCTCTGTTTTGTCGAAGGGGTCTGTTTTGTATAATAAAAAAACACACCCAAAGTTTTTTTTTAAAGAAAAAAGGGCTCTCTGCGCTTTTTTAACAGAAGCGATCGCTTCATCACTTTCCTCGCTTCGTCGCTTCGTCACTTCGTCCATTGAAGCGTGCGCTTCCCTCGGTCGAGTCGCCTCAAGCAGCTAGAAGCAATACTCGGTCGCATCGCGTCGCTTTGCGCTTAAAGCGACGAAGCGATCGCTTTTCTAAACACTGGTGTCTACTACTAATATATCACTATTTTCTAAAGACATACATGTATACATGTAGTTTTTGCCGAACTTTACGGGTGCCAGTGACCCCTCTCGGCCTCGGTATAGCATAGGTCCGCCTCTGGGTCCATTTGAAATAACAGGCATTGCATTTTATGGCTTTGAACTTTTCCTCATGCAACAACCATACAAGTAGTAAAATATAGATGTCAAACCTTTTGGCAAGGGAGATCTTCCATGGTTGAAGAGATTCATGTCCTAGTTTTATCTGCTGGCTATATCATAAGCTTTGCCAATGATTTTGTACTCATATTAAATCTTCATCTGTGATTAGCTCCTTGAGTACTACATGAAGTAAGCCCAAATTCTTCAAACACTTCCTCCACAATGCTCAAGTACGTGGAATCTGTATTGGTGTTTGAACCTACGCTATAGAGTAAGGACTTGATAGGTTTTGCTCCCTCTTAAGATGAACGTAGTATATATAGCCTTTAAAGCTGAAGAGTAGCTTCTTTAACAAACATCCTTTTGTTCTAGCTTACTGTGTTCCTTCCTCATCAATAACTTCTTTTTACTCGTAGAAAAATCTTTTTTGCCTTATTCCATTATTCTTTTCCCTCTTTATTTTGGGAGACCTGTCTGATCCTTTGGCTGCCGTTTTTAAAATTGTAATTGAATGTAATGACTTGTGGAAACTTGTCGACTATTATCAGGAAAAAACCTCTAAAATTATAGTTTATTTGCATTTGGAATTTGGAGTATGGAAAAAACCTTTTGAAAAGATTCTGATGCTCCCTATTTATTGTTTTCTCTGAAAAGACACATTACGTCCTTCCCTGTTTAAGTTCTTTTCATCCTTTAATTCCTAGCTCCACCAATGTTCCTAAGCCTTAACTATTGAGAAACAGATTACCAGGCTTAGCTGTTGCCTGTCGGGATAAAAATATTAGAAATTGAGTTTACTTATCTAACAGCTTTGCCTCCTCTATGATTCTGCATTATTTTCCTGTCTCTTAATGATTTTTCTTTGGCACGTATCTGGAAATGTTTGCCCTACATATTCTATGTTTCATCACTTTGAAATTCTTGGGTTTATTAATCATCTCATATGTTTACTGGTTGTAGCATTTCTTTGGTGGTCAAGAGAATAAGGGAAGGTTTGCACCATTATCACTTAGTTTCTACATCTTCTAAAGCTAAAACATGGCAGAAAAAGCATGTGTAAAGCGCCTTCAGAAGGAATATAGAGCACTTTGTAAAGTACGTAATCTTTTTGCTGCTGGTAATTGTTCTACATTTGAATCTTTACCTCATAATTTTCATCAGTCTAAAGTAATTTACTTCTTCCTCCAGTTTCCTATTAATTGAACGAAGAAATTGCTTCTAAAGTATGAAGCTACCGCATTGTTCTAAATACTCCTCAAATCAGGAATGTTCTAAATACTTATATTTACCTTTGTGGATAGTACCGCATCGAAGTCATTAGCCATAATATGTGTTAATTATGGATGATGGATACTTTGCTTGCCTCCACACCATTGCTGTCTCTGAAAGTATGGCACTTGTATTTTTATGTTCTTGTCATATCTTGGTGAGGGTCTTACTTAATGGACCAAATGATACTTGATGACATCCCCTTATACCTGTTGTGGCTAGACTACTCTACTCCATGCACATTTGATTATGTTCTACAGTGCTCTGATGTCATAATCATGCTCCATTGCAGGAACCTGTCTCCCATGTTGTTGCCCGCCCTTCTCCGAATGATATTCTTGAGTGGCGTGAGTCCTACTTCTGCTCATATTCTTGTAGTCAATTTTGGAATAAAATTGAGACTTAAAAATGATGCTTTTTTTGAATAAATATAGCTAACTAGGCTTATTTGCTGGGAGGGCCCACCTTCTGTTTTCCTTTTTTCCCTTTGGCTTCACTTTATCTATTAATTCTTCATTTGGTTGCTTGGATATTCCTAATGTTCCCACTTCTACCTAATTTTTTTTGTCCAGATTATGTTTTGGAGGGGAGTGAAGGAACACCATTTGCAGGTGAGTATTCGTATTATATGATTAGCTAATATTGTTGGCTAATCTTGTTCCTCCTACCATCTTTTTGGAATTTTTTATTGTCATCATTGAATATTTTTCATTTGCCGGAACTATGCTTTTGTTGTTAATGTTCATGAAATGATACCATCTCCTATCATTAGGTGGATATTATTATGGGAAGATCAAGTTTCCTCCAGAATATCCGTTTAAACCCCCAGGAATCAGGTAATCTAATTCAGATGAGTTTGAAAATCCCTGACTTGTTTCATCTTTGCAAGCTAGGTTGTCTCCATGCGTTTGAGGGGTTGGTTCCTGCTGATTTTTACATTGTGTATGTTTCTTCTTCTGTAGTATGACTACTCCAAACGGAAGATTCATGACACAAAAGAAAATCTGCTTATCTATGAGTGACTGTAAGTGCTTTTAGAATTTCATGGTAGCCACAGTTCTCTGTTGCTTTGAGATGATCTTTATCTGTTCTTAACTTCTGATTTCCCTATTGCTTCACAGTCCACCCAGAGAGTTGGAATCCAATGTGGTCCGTTTCAAGGTATGAGCTGCCAACAATGACATAATGCTTATTTATAGGGCAATAGTTTCTTTAGTGCCTGTTTGGTAACAAGAAACTTGTCTCTTTTTGTTTCTGCAATGACAAGGGAAAACAAATCTTTCTTGTAATTTTCAAAAGAAAATATCATTTCCTAAACTAAAAGGTTAGATGTGTTTTCAGTTTTCTCTTATGAAACATCTTTTTCTTCTGGACTACTACTCAGTCTCTCCCTGCCTCCCGAGCCTCAGTGCTATCCAGACTTACCCTAAAAGATGCCCTATCCACGGTTGTCCGGGCCTTCCCTTTTCGTCCACCTTAGCTTAAATCCTTGCCCTCGCTCCCCCCCTGTTCCATCCGCTCAATTTATGTACATTTTCTTGAAAAAATTCTTTTGCGTACCAAAATTGTTCTTGCTTTCTACGACAGAAAGAACTATGCTCAATTCCAAACTAGGTGGAGTCATGAAATGTCAGACACCAGTTGCACTCACATTTTATGCCCATACTCAATAGTTTGTCTTATTGATAAAAGAAATACTCAACAGTTCGTATTTTTAGACAAATTAAGGGTTCTCAACGCTAGAGGTTCTTGACATAAAATTTCTTAACAAATTAAAAGACTCCTGACACACAGTGGACGTAATCTAACCCCAGCAGGATATGTCTTAATCCCAATTAGTTGGTGTCCTATATGGATCTTTTGCATCCATTTATTCCCTTTTTCGCTAAGTTAAAACAGTTTCCGGTAGAATATTTGTCTTTTGCAGTAACTTCCCTCCATGTGTGTCTAATTTGTTATGAATATTTTTTTTACTCAGTATATGGTATCTAACATGTTTCTGATTTCTTTTCAAAACAAAGTAGTAAAAATGTCTACTTATTTTTCTACAACTAAAAATGAGAACCTTTATTATCAATTGGACTAACTACTTTTCTTCCTTGTTTGGGCTAATTTTTCCCTGTTTTGCATGCAGCATACTGACAGGACTGCTCTCATTTATGGTAAAGTTCATCGCAACTGATTCAGCTTTCAACGACCCTTGGTGTTCCCATTCCATCTGTTGATATATATTCTGAGTTGTGCTTGAACTGCTTCGTGCATTTCCTTTTATCAAATTTATATTTTCTTTATGTGTGTGTGGACAATTGAGTGCTGTCTATCTGTCTATGTTGCATGGAAGCTGTACTAGTGAATATATTCTTCATTTCAAAACCACTTGTAGAGGTTGAGAACAATCTGAAGGGAAAGGAGGGAGCTCTGCTACTTGGTGATGTTGCTCTGAAATTTCCCCTTGTGGCTCTACGTCTTCCTACCAAGAAGTGCATTCCAAACCCTCCCTTTGCCATCATTGCTATGAGGAATGCCTTCTGTCAACTGTATAGTTTTTGCCATAAAAAAATCACCACTACTTCTCCATATTTTGACCCTTCCAGCTGATGATAGTTTCTCTCCGACCACCTGGAATGGCCCAGTGGAAACCAAATATATTCAGAAACATGAACCAAGTCTCCCATTTCTACCTTGAACAGATCGTTTACTGATTCAGTTGATGGCTTGCTTATATAACATCTGCTGCATATATTGAATCATTTCTTTTCACAAATTATATTTGGTTAATGATGCATTTTGTAATGCAGCTGCTAATTTCATGTTCTATTTCTATCAATGTATTACTTGTAGATGGACAATAGTCCTACCACAGGCAGTGTAACAACATCAGTTGCTGAGAAAGAGAAGCTTGCAAAGGCGTCTCTGGCTTTTAATTGTAAAAAGTGAGTTGACTACAAGTTCCTTACTCTTGTGTTGTATTTCTCTCAGATGACTGCCTCAAGCTTTTTAGTTTCCACAGTTCAAGATCTGCTGCATTTTGTTTAGTTACATTTTTTGTAAGGTCGGGGTAACTTACTCTCTATTTTTTATAATAGCCCAACCTTTAGGAAATTGTTTCCCGAGTATGTGGAGAAGTATGAACAGCAGCAGCTACCCGCCCAACCTGTTCCAGAGCAGGTATCATCCGTGCCAACTCAAGCAGAAGAGTCTAGACCATTGTTGGATGAACATGGTAATTCCACCAAGGATGACGTGAATAGAGTGAAGCCTATAAAAGATGTCAAAAACCGACAGAGGCAATCTTTCCCTACTTGGTTGTTGCTGTTGCTAGTTTCAATTTTTGGTGTTGTAATGGCCTTGCCTCTGCTTCAGCTTTGATGAATGGAATCTTGCCGAGTGCACTATGCTGAAGAACAGAGCACGGTATATCACAGATATGTAGTTATCCCGCTCTGGGTTCCTGATATTTGCTTAATTGTGTAGGTCCTTCATTTACCTATGGGAGATTGTATAGGCAGGGCAAGATCAAACTGATCTTTAATCTAGCTAATATGCTTTTCTTTCCTATTGCGGACGTCAGTGGAAAGATAACATTATGTGGTTTTATGATGAAGGGCTCAGAGTTGTAATTGTTCGCTTTTTCCATTTAGTTTTGAAATGTAGGTTTATCGCTTTTTTTCTCTTCGTTTTCGGGGAAGGGAGGGCATGGGTAGGGGGTGTATGGTCTTTGGAGGTGGTATATTGTATAAACTTGGTAAAAATTCGGTCGACATTTTCAGCAAGTAAAGTCAAAGGCCGAGCCTTAACCAGCAAAGAGGGACAGCCGTGCCAACTCAAGCATAGTGAAAGTGCCTAAACACTTTCTTTCCAGCAAGAAATCTGTTTAGTATGAAAATGGTGGCATAAAAAGCAAACTATCATTACTAATGCTTTTCCTTGTGCTGATGTTCGCGTGTTCTATCAACTGTTCCGTGCAGTAACCTTTTGCTAACTAAACCAGTTATTTCTGTGAGGATCTCACTCGTGACAAGGCCATGCATGGTTTTACTTGTTCATTAAAATCTGAGTTCCCTTTTCGATGGAAAACGAAAATACATCACTCAATGAGCTACGTGTCTGTCGCTGATTAGTGCAAGTGTCAGTTGCACGGCTCAAATCCTATAGGATATACGGAGTTAATTTTACCATTGCTCCCTGTTGTTAATCAGCTTATAAGCACTAAGGTATGGTAAAACTGTTGAAAATGCTATCCTTACATAATAGCAAGAACCATGCTTGAAACCCATAATCCCTGGCATGATGATGCTATCTTAACCCTCTTTCACGTGCCTTGTCGCCCACTGGAGAATTATAATAATCTCTCGCTCCAAACTCCGAATATTGCGCCGTAAAAACTCCCATTTTCTTAAACGCCATCTCTCTCTCTGAATAATATTATTGGATACTTCATCTTATTGAAATTTAGAGAAAAAAAATTAGCACTCTACTACTCGGTCCGTCTCAAATTATGATTCTCTTGTATACGCCCCTTAAGAGAAATCAATTAGGATGCAATTTTGATTACTTTATCCTTGTTCATGTCTTAACATTTAATCTTTCTTCATTGGTATTTGAACAAAGTTATCCATAATTGAAGTGTTTGTAGTTTTCAAGGATAATTATTACTAAGTGTAAAAAAGAAAAAAATAATTAATTTTATCTTGAATTTTTAAAATAATAAATAATTTGAAATAATTATTTTTAGTAATTATGACTGATAATACGAAACGGAGCAGTATACAGTAGAGACAAGAAGTCTGACGTAACAAAAAGGGCGCCTTTATTCCTGCTTTAACTAGTATTTAATTACGAGAACTAAATTGCGCCTTTATTCAGGTCTTTCCCTCTTTTGTTACCAACTCCACAACATTAATTTCTTCATGAATCCAAATATTCACTTCAGGAAAGCTCAAGACTAATGTGCTAGAAATGACACAGTTTTTTTGAAGAAGCAACTTTCTTAGGTACACTTTATGGAATTGAAAAAAACGGTATCCCTACACTCATTATCTTTTTAAATTTCGTTTTTTTAGATTTGTAATTTAGCTCATTTATGTCTGTGAACTGATGGTGACAATGTCGACCCATTTCTACTATAAAAAACAGTTGCTTTTGTAGCTCCGTTCCTTTCACTGCTTTGGTAAATATAGCTTTCTGTAACTAATCCAACTACCATTCTTTGCCATAATTTCTTATGCACTCTCATGGGATATAGAAAGCATTAGTTGGCTTTTCTCCCTTTATTAAAGAAAAAAAGTAGCTTTTCTCCTTTGGACAAAATTACCTAGGAAATTCAGATGCAATGAACAAAATATATCTCTATAGATATGAGTTTTAACGATTTCTGAAAATTTCACTTCCACACTCGCAGAAGTTATACCGGCATATATCGTCAAAGTCCAAGGCAAAGCATGAACAAGTTTCCTATATACCCAAGATATGAAGCTGGGGACTATTGTGGATATGAGTTTGATCCTCAGTCGGACTTTACGGATGTAAGTCATTGTTATTCTTTCTATATTGTAAAGCAATTATATTTAATCTTTTATTATCTTTCTTCCCTCATCATATTTACCAATTTCGATAGAGGTGAAAATGCTTTTAGATTGTCTATTGGTATCTGTGAAATATTAATCATATAAGTAGTATGCAATGCATGTGACAATCTTACCGCTAAAATACTCCCTTTATAATACTCTATCCATCCATAATAAGTGACTTTACTAATTCCTAGAAGAAAATAGGCATTTTGACTAAATTACCCAAAATTAAAATTTTCCACATTGGGATATGTAAATAAGTGCAAATTTTGGGAAAACAAAATTAATCCCTTCTTGATTATATATATAATGTCACTTATTTTGAACAAAAATAAAAAGGCAAAAAGCAACTTGTTATGGATCGGAGTGAGTACTATTTATACTCTTTTATTTTTAATCAGTTTCCAAAAGAATAACATCATTTTATATCTAGAAACAATTTAAGATTAAATTTTTTAATTATCCAATATCACACTACTTTATAGCCACATAAATGTCAGGACAAGGTTAAAAAGTCTTTACTTCTATTTTGATGATTTACGACTTGCATAATTTTACAGTTCTTGACAGAAGCAAGAAACCATGAATCAGAAGGGAAAAAATTTGGTGTCACGCCTCCACGTTCCGTGGAATCGAGAAAGAACAATTTTGATAAAGATATGAAGAAAACTTGCAAGAAGTCATGGAAAAGCTCATTGTTTTCATGGCTGAAGAGTAGTAATAATAAGAAGAATCAGAGAAACAGCGAACCTTCAAAAGGCTCCACCATTAACAAACCAAAGCGTGGATGTGTCTCTGGTCCAATGCCAGGGTATAGTGGGCCGGGTGCTATAGCTGTCAGGCCCAAGAAGCCCACTTCAGGACCCCTCACAAGTCTTTTCAGCCCAATGAACAGAGTGGACAATGAGGTTCCATATCTCTGTCTTCAGAAATTTAAGGATAGTTCTCCTGATGTTCGATCCCACGGACCTATTTACCTCGTAACCTAAGAAGTTTGTCTGAGATTCTTTAGGATATTTTTGTTTGACAAAGTATCAGGAAAATCAAAGCACATTCATACGTAGAATTCATATGAAATATCATGTCTACTGCTTAATTTTTGAGTACTCATGGCTAAAACTTATAATTGAAAAGTGTCACGATCAATATTTTTTTCCACAAATATCTGTAAGCACACTCATTATACTTCCAATTTTCCAGCATATTTATTTATGACAGTTGTAATCAATGCAGCTTAATTGTATACGGCGAGGAGCCGAGAATCAACTAAGGCCCGTTTGTCCATAAAAGAAGTTTTATTTTTTTTCAAAAAAAAAAAAATTAAAAATATGTTTGTCCATAAAAATTTTGGGAGTTTTTTTCAAAATTTTTTGAAAATAAGTTTTTCAAAAATCAAAAGTTGTTTTGATTACTTTTTTCAAAATTTTCAGAAAAACTTTTTTCCTCACTCACAAAATCGCAATATTTTTTCCAAATGAAATGCATGTCCAATACCCTTTTTCAACTTAACTCCAAATACTATATTTTTTGAAAAATTACATTTTTTATGTCCAAACGATACTGATTGATAACGTGAAAGGACTCTTATTGGACTTAATTAATTACTTACTTACATTATAAAGAGATTAAATCATTTAAAACCACATAGAAGAACCCAAATCATTCAATACCGTGTAGCAGACCACATAAATGAGCAACCAATAAAGAAAATAGGCCAGAACCAACCTGAATTTAGCTACTTGTTTGACTGCCAATAAAAATGAATATAAGTCTAAATATTAGCATCATTGAGGCTTGCAATATAGGCTTTCAGACTAGCAAATACTTCAGTCATTTCCCTCCGAATGTATTCGGTATCTCCTGGTCCCAGACATATTGCTAGTGGACCATCGAACGTTCTTCTGAACAAGGTTCCATTTTCGGACAAGTTGAACCGGGCTGTCTTCCGACGCAAGACCCTCGATCTTTTACATTCGAGGGTAGTTTTCCGGTCTCGGAATATTCTATATATTTGTTTCTCCAGTCTCATGTCAGTCTTGTGGAGTTTATCTCGGCATGTCCTTCTTCCACTACCGATCTCATGAGTTGTATGATTGCCCCCGAGTTGAGCTCGTCGTCCTCGACCGACGACCCTAAGTTAGCAAGGGCATCGGCCTCACTGTTTTGATCCCGAGGTACGTGTTGCAAAGTCCACTCTTTGAACCAATGCAATGTCACCTGCAACTTATTCAGGTACCTTTGCATCCGTTCTTCTCTGACCTCGAATGTCCCATTAACTTGGTTCACCACGAGGAGGGAGTCGCGCTTAGCTTCGATCGCCTCCGCCCCAAAGCTTTTGGCTAGTTCTAAAATCAACTTATTTTGAGAAGTGCTTTTTCTCAAAAGTATTTTTTAAAAAAGTATTTTTGGTAAGAAGCAGTTTGTATTTGGCTAACTAATTTGAAAAGTACTTTTGAGCAATACTTTGTGTTTGGCCAAACTTTTGAAAACTGCTTCTAAGTATATTTTTCTCAAAAGTGCTTTTGGAGAGATCTTCTTTTTTCTGCTTCTCAAAAACTGCTTCTGCTTCTGCTTCTCCTCAAAAGCGCTTTTTTACCGTCCAAAAACTTGGCCAAACACCTCAATTTTTGGCCAAACATTCATAAGTAGAATTCATATGCAATATTATATGTCTACTGCTTTAAGTTTTGACTACTCATGACTAAAACTTATACTAATTGAGAAGTGTCACGATCAATAGTTTTTTCCACAAATATTTGTAAAGCACACTCATTATGCTTCCAATTTATTTATGACCGTTGTAATCAACGCAGCTCTATTGTATACGGCGAGGATCAACCAAGGCCCCGTTTGTCCATAAAAAAAACTTTTATTTTCTTTCAAAAAAAAATTTAAAAACATGTTTGTCCATAAAAATTTTGGAAGTTTTTCGAAAATCAGTTTTTCAAAAATCAAAAAGTGGTTTTGATTGCTTTTTCAAACTTTTCAAAAAACTTTTTCCCCACTCACAAAACTGCAATATTTTGTCAAGTGAAATGTATGTCCAAACAATTTCAAATTCCAAATACCATTTTTTTACTTAACTCCAAATACTAGTATGTTCTTTGAAAAATTACATTTTTTATGTCCAAACGCATACTAATTGATATCGTGAAAGGATTCTTCTTGGACTTAATTAATTACTTACTTACATTAAAAAGAGATTAAATCATTCAAAACCACATAGAAGATCCCAAATCATTTAATACCGTGTAGCAGACGACATACATGAGCAACCAATAAAGAAAATAGGCCAGAACCAACCTGAATTTAACTACAGTACTTGTTTGACTGCCAATAAAAATGAATATAAATCTAAATATTAGCATCATTGAGGCTTGCAATATAGGCTTTCAGACTAGCAAATACTTTAGTCATTTTGCAAGTTGAAATTTGACCATCAATATTTGCAAAATATTGAAAAAACTTATGTGAATAGTACTTCAAGTGAGTAATTATAATTTGCACTCACAAAAGTCTAACTTCTACATGTTCTTTGTTTCACTTCAACTTCAAACTCTATTTTTCACTTACAATTGAATATTGTCCAAACTCAATACATCATATTTGGTTGGTATCTCCAGCCGCTTTAAATCCATTACGATCTTGGAGTTAATAGCTGAGACCAACCAAATTTACACAAGAAGATAATCGAGTGAGCTGTAAAATAAATTTAAAATAAATTAAGTCGAAGCCAGACAACATATAGCACTCACATTATTAGAGTATAAGGACTATTAGTGTTCTTGTATATACCTAATGGACGGTTTTCAGTCTATACCCAAACTTAAGGGACTGCATTTTACCTTTTCTTTACAATTTACAAATTGAATTTAACAACACATTACAAAAATTGCATTTGGTAAATGCGATTTGAAGGTGCATTTGTCAAATAAGATTGTAAGTTGCATTTAGTGAATCGCAATTAAATAATGCAATTTGTAAGTTGCTTTGACAATATCGAGCTGTATTAATTAAATATCAGCGGGATTAAAGCTTGAATAAAATAATATCTCATATGTCAATATTTTTTTTTATATAAAATATATAACATACTATCTATATGAATTTTACTAATACTAGTCTTAAGGTACGCGCGTTGCGCGTGTACCCTATCTTAATAAATATAGATATAAAATAATTGAAACTTGAGTTATAAAATAAAGTGTAAAATCGTAAACATAAAAAGAATTTACCATATATAGCTAACTCAATAAAAAAAAGTACAAAAAAAGAAGTTCTCAGTCATTAGTCATTATTCTCAACTTAAGAAGTATACTTTTATAATTGCACCAAATAAATTTCATAAGTTATCATATTTCTTTTTCAGTTACCAAAAGTTGNACCTGACCTCACCCCTAGCTGACTGGGCGGGTGCTGATGAAACAGGAGCAGAAGATGAGGGTTGATCCCTCTGCAGCGATTGACTACCACGACGCCGAGGACACTGTCTCCTCATATGACCGAACTCACCGCACTCGTAGCAACTACCCGGCGCTGTAGAAGGGGATTGATGGAAACCCCTCGCTACTGAAGAGCCCTGGGCTGAAGAGGCAGGTGTAGAGCTCTGAGCTGGAAGGGCACTAAGTGAAGTCTGGCCCTGCTGAAATCCCTGATGACCACGGCCTGAGGAAGCCCCACTGTACTCTGGACGACCTGACTGAGGAGGCCTGAAGGAACGGCCTCTGCCACGCTGGAACTGGCCCCTAGACGGAGCACCACTGAAACTACCTGAAACTCGAGGCCTCTTTGCCTCTCTCTCCTCACGCTCCCGATGGCGAACCGTCTCAATCTCTCGAGCCATGTCAACTACCTCCTCTAACGAGGCACCCATAACCCTCTCTCTGGTCATTAAAATGTGGAGTGAATAGTTGAGGCCATCCACGAACCTCCTAATCCTTTCTCGATCTGTCGGGATCATCCAGGTGGCATGCCGAGCTAGCTGCGTGAATCTCAACTCGTACTGGGTCACAGACATGTCCCCCTGAACCAACCACTCGAACTGACGACGCAGCTCCTCCCTGTGAGACTGCGGCACGTACTTCTCCAGAAAGAGAGTGGAGAACTGCTGCCATGTAAGGGGCGCTGCACCAACCGGCCTACGCCTCTCGAAGTCCTCCCACCAGGTGAATGCAGACCCTGAGAACTGGAAAGTAGTAAAAGCCACACCACTCGACTCTAAGATCCCTGCAGTGCGAAGCATACGCTGACACTTATCCAGAAAACCCTGGGCATCCTCGCCCTCAGCACCGCTGAACATCGGTGGCTGAAGCCTGCCGAATCTCTCAAGACGACGCTGCTCATCATCCGGCATAGCTGGAACCTCATAGGCTGCAACTGGAGCAACTGGCGGGGCTATGGCTGCTTTCGGTGTCTGAAGTCCCTGGGCAGCCTGCTCAGGTGTGTGAGCAACAGGGGTCTGATTTCCTCCCCCGGTCTGGGAAGCAGCTGCTGCGGTAGTAGCTGAGACTGCCTGAGCCGGGCCAGTGCAAACTGATAGTATCTGTGCCAAGGTCTCCTGGAGACCAGGAATAGCAATAGGCATTGCTGGTGTCGCACAGGTGTTGCTGGGACATCGACAACTGGGGTCTGGTCCTGAACTGTGGCAGCTGGTGGGTCAGCAGGTGCTGTCTCTGCTGCCCAACCTCGACCACGACCACGACCGCGTCCACGGCCTCTAGTGGGTGGTACTGGTGGTCGACCGTCGCGTCCGGTAGCACGAGTTCTCTCCATCTGCGAGAGAATAGAATACAGAAATTTAGTTCTCGAATCACAAAGTCGCACGACAAGAATTTCAAGAATATGGAGTTTTCCTAAAGGTTCTACAGCCTCTCGAGGAGAAGTACAGGCGTCCCCATCCGTTCCGCGAGACTCTACTAAACCGGCTCATGACTCGCGAGGCCTAGTAACCTAGGCTCTGATACCAACTTGTCACGACCCCAATCCCGATCGTGATGGCACCCAACACAAATGCTGGGCAAGCCCGACCAATTAAATACTCTCAACCCAAATACGCAATCCGTTAACAAATAATACGATTACAATAGCAAATGTCAAGGTTCCAATTCGAATCTAAATAAAATAGTACGGAAAATAATAACGAATATCCAAACATTCCCCCAATAGATCTGGAGTCACGAGTCTAGAGCCTCT